TTATTTTATAGTATAATTAAATATTAATAATAAATTAATTTAATAGGTATTATTTCATAATTAAAAATTTATAGAAACTTGATTTTTGAAATTTAAAACATTTAACCTTAATTTTGAAATGGTAACAAATAAAAACTTGATTTATGTAGACTTCCCTTTTTTTATTTTGATACGACACAGCCCGTACGTTAATACGGGCCTTTTGATCCTAACCAAAGCCCACTTTACGATCAAGCGCAAGACCCATCAAACTCCAAAATGACAAACCAAAAAAATCTGATTCTCTAGTCGGTGAACAGCCACAGCCCACAGACAATCCAAAACCATCCTCTATAGATGTGTCAATCCCGGCATCCCCCACCACTCCATCCCATACCATCCCAAAAATCTGCATTTTGGTTCTGATCCACAAATACGAAAATTTATACGCAAAAATCCCACATCCCTTATGGAGTCCATCGCGACCATCGTCTCCTCCCCTTCTTCTCTCCCAATTTTCTCACCCAAATTCAAAGATTCTTCTCCCCGTCGCCTCATCCGCTTCTCCAGTCCCCCCAAAAGTAAGTTCCCCAATTTTGCCTTTTTGATCCCCACAACCCCCGGTGTTTCGATTATCCTAATTGCTAACACTTTTTTCTTTGTTCCTTTTCAGATGACGGGAACGGACCTGATTTCAAACAAGACTCCACTGAGTACAGCCTTGTTCCCATCCTCCGCAATCACACACTCTCTAAGGTATTTATAAGTTAATTTATTACGATTTATATAGTTTTGAAGGTAGTAAGGTTATTTTTTATTGGGTATTTAGAATTTAATTGGTAGGTTGTACAAGTTTTGAAAATACAAGGGTGATATTGTTTCGGTATTTAGCATTTAATTGGTAATTTGTATACATTTCTGGGATATGAGGGTTATTTTTGGTCGGGTATTCAGAATTTAATCTGTGAGTTGTATAAACTTTGAAGATACAAGGGTGATTTTGATTGGGCATTTAGAATTTAATGGTATTTATATGAATTTCGAAGATACTTGATTTATACTTCGATTTTAATTTGTAATTTATATAAAATTTGTGGATGAAAGGTTGATTTTTTATGGGAGTTTGGGTACTTTTTCTTGGCAGGATGTAGCAATGGGATTGGTATTGAGTGCGGCCAACGTAAGGGGATGGACAACCGATTCGGGCATGGAAGGTCCTTCGGTTCCCGCTGGGTCTGAATCTCATTCAATGGAGCAGGTATCTACCTTCCCATGGTCTTTATTTACCAAGTCTCCACGGCGGCGTATGCGTGTGGCATTCACATGCAATGTCTGTGGTCAACGCACCACTCGCGCAATCAACCCACATGCCTATACTGATGGTACCGTCTTCGTACAGGTATGTATATGTACCTGCATATATTTATGAATATATACGAGTTTGTTTATCTTTGTATTCTAATTAATGGAGATAATGTTGTTTTTGTTAGTGCTGTGGGTGCAATATATTTCATAAGCTAGTGGACAATTTAAATTTGTTCCACGATATGAAATGCTATGTGAATTCAAGCTTCAACCCGAATCCCAACAGCAATATGGGCATCAATTATTTTAACCTCGACGAGGACGATAGTGGTGATATTTTTCCTCTTTTATAGGTGACAAATGATATGTTTAGTGAAATTGGTTTACATATCAATGTACATTCTATTTAACTTATTTGTGGGAGTGCATTACTGTGACTGTAAATAGATATGTCAATGTTCTTATGATCAAATAAGTAGCATTAGTATGAGATTTGTATAGAGAAGTAAAACAATATGTTATTTATATTATGATGTGATTATGCGATGATCTCCATTAATCTTTAACTGTAATTTACGTGCTGGGTAATGGTTTGGTTAAAATATATATTCTTATAATTATTCTAGTTAAAATCTTCTTTTAAGTGATAGATATTGCAATGGCTCAAAGTGTAGAAATTTCCTGTTGCAATTTGTTTTACTTTTCTTTTTGGAAGCTTCCTCTTTCAAGAGGCCTTTTAGGATTTTCTTTTGATCAAAGGGATACTGTGGCAATGAAAGGGGAACAAGACATTGGAAGGGAAGAAACTCATCTAGGGAGAGGTTTATTCTTTGTTCTTTTTGATTGCCAAAAGAAGTTAATTGAAAAAAGTTAGTGACCTTACTTTTCAAGTTTATTGAAATCAATTCTCTTGGCTTTTGTGAGACCTTCATGTCAGCAGTAGCTGGAAGGACTAGATGTCCTCTATTCAAGACACAAAATTCAAATATATTTTGTTTGGTTGCTTGGCTATTCCGGTAGCTGGAATCTATAGAGTCAGTTATGGTTTTCAGTTTGTGCATTGATGTGTTGGTGTTCATCCATTAATGATTTTACTATGTAGTTACTATATTTGTTTTTGTTTGATGTAAATTACTGGTGGTGCTTCTGTTAGGTAAACCTGCTAAGTATGAAAGTACCATATGTTTTGAAAAGGACATGGCCAGCTTCTGGTACTAGAATCTGCTGACTGATGATAAAGAGACATGTTATTTGAGAACATGCGTTTGATATCAAATGATTAATTGAATCAATTTCAGTCATTTTAACCCTGAGGGGTTGCTCAATTGGTCAGGCCTTGGGTTTGCCCCCTAATGGTCACCATGTCGAGTCCCCTCAGGGCCACTGAGGTGAGTACTGGCCGTAAATTTCAAGGTCCTGTGGAATTAGTCGAGGTGAGCGCAAGCTGGCCCGGACATCCACGGTTATCAAAAAAAAAAAATTCACTCATTTTGCACGAGCATATCCTTCTCTAAAAGACCTGAGAAGTTTTGGGTGGTCCAGAAAATAAGAAGTGCCATACTTAGATCAATTCTTCTCCCATTTAGTCATATTCACTATGGTCATATGGACTGGCAGAGTGAAGACATAAGTCTGATGTTTGCTAGACTGAGGATGACGCGTGTTATAGGACAGGGGATGGTGGGAGGCAGGGGGGGTTGAAGGGGAGGATCTAAAGGATCTTTGGGGGGTGCTGCACTGAAAGGGATTGTGGGGAGGGGCAGAATAAGTCTCTCTTTTAACTTGCGTAACTGAAGTTTCCGAATCACATGCAAAATGTGCGATTTTTTACTGTTTTATGTGCATTCTGTTAGTGGGGAGGCAAGTGCCACAGAAAGTGAAGTTGGGATCCAAATGTTGGTTGAGACCCACCATTACGTTTTATACGTTTAATTATGGATCCTTTCTAGGTGTTGATTATCTTCCTTCAGAAACTACAACGAAGCTGGAGTAAGCAGTCCAATAAATTGTCATACATTGAAGCATGTTTGAGGATTTGCTTAATAGCTCCTCAGATGGGGCTTTTTCTGGCACCATCAATGTTCAAAAAAGGGAATATATATATATATATATAAAAGAAAAATAGCGCCTTGAGGAGTGCACGCCTCGCCTCGCCTCGCCTCATGTGAGGCCTTCATTAAGAATTTCAAAGCTTATGCTGCATGGCTTTAGTTTCAGGATGGTCATCGTGCTGTCTGAGTCTCTCCCTTTCTGTTCTTCCTTTACAGATCTTTACTTTTTATGCTCGCCTGGAATGGTACAAGAGTTTCTTGTTTTTAGGCTCATGTGTAACTTAAAAACACTGGCCAACAAAATAATATTGGAATTAAGACTGTTGGTGTGTCTGATACTTCACTATTTCTATTGAAGGAAGGTCTATTTTCCTAGAGCTTTGAAGCATCATAGATTTATCTCATGAGTTTGGTTTGGGAGCTGTTGTATTGTTTTCAGAAGGGTAATGCTATTCTGTAACGATATCTAGGGGGGATATCTGGAAATGGATGAGACGTATGATTTTTATGGGCTTATATTCTTTATGCATGTTTTGTTTTTATCTTTTCCTAAATACGCTGAAAATGGTCGAGGTAGCCTCGTAGGGTAAAAAGCAACAATGATTTTCTAAGGTTATTTCAATACTCATTTTCTCTTAAAACTTATTTTAATCACGCATTTTCAAAATAAAATATTTTGCACGTAAATTGAATTTTTTTTATTATTTAATTATACATTTTTCAACAATTCACTATTATAAACATTATTTTAATGAAATAATGTGTATCAATAGGGGCGATATAAATACGATATAGCGTTTCTGGAAAGTATGTACTATATTACCCATTGGCTGCACGAGTTATTTAGCTATATTAGTTATCTGATAGTTTCATGTAGTGTCTTTATGTATAACACTTAACAGGACTATTCGTCCTTCAAGAATAAAATTAAAATACATGCTTCCCAAAATTTTCAAGAATCTTTTTCCTACAGCAACCAGACTGAGATTCTTCACAGTATTCAACCATATAGGATTCTAGATGCATTATATGGCTCACATCAAAATGGAATCAATGGAAAATGGAGTAAAGGCCCATCATTATGAAAAAGCAAGAAATTTACCCGGTGGGAATCAGCCGGGGACTTCTTGGAGGGCCCCTCTTGCAAGCTTGAAGACTGCAACTTCCTGCTCTCAGTTTTGGAATATTATTACAGGGACGGTGGAACCAATAATCCGGACACAATAAAAGTTTAAGCAAAAATTACTAAAATAGAAACTTGTAATATTCTATCCAATTTTGGGCAATCATTAATGATTAGAATTCTAAACAAACATTTTCAATAAAAATCGTCGGGACCATTCATCCTTCAAGAATAAAATACCTGCTCCCCAAAAGGCTCAAGAATCTGGTGAGAGACTGTTGGAGAAACCGAGAAGAAGATGTTAAGAAGTTTAAGGGGTTTTGGATGGGTGCATCTTTGGGCTTTTTTTTAGAGGCCCTTAAAATTTTGAGGCCCAAGGCAGTGGCCTTACTTCCCTTGGGCCAGGGCCGGTCCTAACAGAGATCATCAATTTGAACATGTACAACAGCTATGGTCCAATTGGATTAACAAAATTTGTGGCACATATCAAGCTGACTTCAAAGTCTATCTTTCAATTTGATAATTCAAAGTAATGGAAGCATAGATCCTCAGCATCACTTAACCAGAAAAAAATTCTGTTGTTTCTTACAACAATGACTACTTTTTCCTCTTTTCCGATAAATGTCTTGGTGTCATATTGCTTTATATAGAATTCGGGAAACGAGAAGCAAAAATGAAAGACTCAACTAGCTTATGTTAAATTGCAGAAGACTTGATTCAGTAACAAAACTGGAAAGAACAAGGCCAAACGGCCAGTTTTTATCTTGATTTCTTCTACCATGCTATACAATTGATTTATCCATTAATGGAGAATGGCTCTCCCATCTTGTTGGATGACAGCTGCTGGTAGTGATAGTGATGATGATGATGATGCCCAACCAACTCGAGCTCCTTTTGATGAATCAGGAGAACCTTTTGACTTACAGAAATGTGTGGGTTGGTTGTGGACTGTGGCCTTTTTCTCTTGGACTGCGAATATGTCAAAGCATGAAAAACAAATACAAGTTACTGGGTTGGGCCCAAAAGTCCATGCAGGCCCTATAAGGGCTTCGCCCCTAATCTGTTGTAATTATTGGGTTTCATTGTATAACAGGAATTTACTTTTCTGTACCACCGGCAAGAATCTAGGTTCTCAAACATTTAGGGTGTATTTGATTGGCATGAAAAATGTCTTCTCGAAAACAAAATGTTTTCTTTCTTCTGAGAAAAGCAAAAACCTACTGTCCGAAAGAAAGGGTTTCCTCAAAAAAGTGGCAATCAAACATAACATTCTAAAAGTTGAAATTTGAGTAGAACAAATGTCATTTTTCATGAAATTTTTTTCAATCAAACACACATTTGAAGAGAACAGTTGGGTTTCTCCTAATGCTACTACTAGATGTCGAAGTAATGGGAAAAATTCTGTAGAGCAGGCAAGCCAGAATGCACTTACTGATGAATGAAATGATAAAAACCCCGACTTGAAAATCAACCCCCTGTTTAATGTAGCTAAAATTATATTTTTAGTAAATTTGATAAAAGTCGATGAAATGCGTGATTGAAAAGTTGATAAAAATTATGCGTTTGATTCGTGGGGCGCTTAGAAGGCACTCTCTCTCCTAGAAGGCAAGAGTTCTCTTGGAAGACAAGGTGCAACATGTGTTGACTTGTTCGGCACTATGGTAGATCAGTGGAGGAGGCTCTTGGACCCTGGACATTTTGGGACACATCCCGCGATTTACCTGATCTGCGTCTTGAGGGGCCAAAGCGTAGACCACAAGATTAGTCGTCGAAGGTGGAGACCTGGGTATAAAAAAAAAAAGTAATAATAATAATAATAATAAAGGAATAACATTATTAATAATTTAGACTGCATGAAACACGGGCTTAATAAAGTTAACATTATTTATTTAATTGTAATACTAGATAATTACCTTATGTCTCTTTCCTCCGTTTTTAAAAATCTCATGCTTTCTGTCTTGTCTTGCGGGTTACTTTCAAACATAGAAAATCTGAAATAAAATCTGGATAAAGAGGAAGTACAGATTCTCACTTTTGCTATAAACCAATTTTCTTTTGTTACTACATATAGAGAGAAAAGAAATGGAAGAATTCTTTGGTCTGCGCCACCTCTTCGTGACGGTGTTCCTTTACTACTTCGCCAATTACATGGTGGTTCCGGCGATCACCGACGTGACAATGGCGGCTGTTTGTCCCGGAAAACACGAATGCTCACAGGCCATTTATCTCACCGGAGCTCAGCAAGCGGTAATCTTAATTATAATAATAATCAATTGATCTTTACTTTCTCTCTCTAAATTATCAGTTTCTTTTCACTGTGACGCACTATTTTATACATTTCAAACGATTTTTTATATTGCTAAAGGGTTAAAATACTGATGTTACATTTGTATATCTCAGAAAACAGGAATATTTTCATTTTTATTTTTATTTTTCAATTTCCATCATTTGCCCAATTGAAACTTATATGTAACTGCTAATATGAGTTGTCAGTGTTTGCATGGAATGGCTTAAAAAGTAGCTAAAAACTCGAAATTAAAATCAATAATTAATTTTGGATCAAAAGTTATATGTAACAATCCCTTAAATCTCCTCTGATTTCTTCTATCATCATTTACTTATGATTTTCATTAATGGTAGTCATGGCAATGGGCCGGGCCGAGCCGGCTTGGTCCATGAGCTTTTTGAATTTGTTTTAATGTCTGTTTTTAAATTTTTCTTTAATTTTTCACGAGCTCACAAGCCGCTCGCGAGCTCGACGAGCTTATTGTGGGAGTTCTAATGTTGTCATTTGGTTCTTTTTGACAAAAGAAGTATAAAATCTATTGGATTTGCATTGCGTTCTTCTTTTTTCCCGTTAAGATGAAAATAGGTTTCGAGTATTTAGCAAAATCATATATTCGAAAGAAATTCAGAATTGAATTGAATAAATGTATCTAGAGTGAGAATTGACCTTAGAAATCTTTCTTGCCAAAAAAGGTCACAATAAGAAAAAATATAAGATCGACTCTTGCTTGAATTTAAGTGATTAGATAATGTGTCTACATCTACTATCAAACACGAATAACCCACCAATTTCAAATCATGCTATAGTTTGTTGTTTATAAAGAACTTTATCTTGAAATTACCTATACAATACTATTTCCTATCATCCATCAACTAGCTTCCACGTACAAAGAATATGAGCCACATGATCCACATTTAGTTCATGTTTGAGCCACATTAAAATTTTCATTTTCATTCTTCTACTCATTTTCAACCAAATATTTTTCAATAAAATAATATTTTTCATCACATCAATAATTTTTTCTTCTTTTTCAATTATATATTCTCTATCGATTTACTATTTTAAAACATATTCTTCCAAAATAATGTGGTTCAAATTTAAACACACCCTGACATTGATAACAACTATCCTTTTCCGCGTCCCTTTCCTACGGAAGACATTTACATTAATAGGAGTCCTATCCAACCACTCGTGGACCCAAAACTACTAAACATTAATTACATTTCTTGGCCTTGGGTTTATTGGGGTTTCATTTTCGATATTTTAGTCTGTATTAGATTCTGCATCTCTTGTAATTTTCCTTCACAAGTTATTAGTCAGTTTAGCAACGGGTTAATTTTACAAACGGTCACTGAAATTACCAAAAAATCTCAAAATGGTCACTGAAGTTTAAAATTTACAGAAACGGTCACTGAAATCCAAATTTCTTTCACAAACGGTCACTGAATTTCAGATTTTTTGGACAAGTTTTGCGGCGATTTTTCGATAGCTTCCGACCACCAAGACAGTCGGATTTGGATACCGTTGGAAAGCCCACAATATCTTCTTCAATTACCATCAAAAATCTCCCCAGAACTCCAAGAGATGCGGTCGAAATATACCCACAAAATTGACTACCAAAAAATCTAAAAATCTGCTCAGATTTTTAGATTTTTTAGACGAGTTTGCGACAATTTTTCGACAACTTTCGACCACCAATACCTCCGATTTTGGATACCGTTGGAAAGCCCACAATGTCCTAATCAATTACCACAAAAAAATCTCCACATAACTCCAAGGGATTCAGCTGGATTAAACCCACGTAGTCAGCTACCAAAAAAAGTCTGAAAATCTGTCCAGCCGAATCCGTTAGAGTTATGGGGAGATTTTTCGTGGTAATTGAAGATGATATTGTGGGCTTTCCAACAGTATCCGAAACAACGGTATTACTGGTCGGAAGTTGCCAGAAAATTGCCGCAAACTCACCCAAAAATTTTAAAAATTTGGGCAGATTTTCAAATTTTTTGGTAATCGACTTCGTGGTATATTTCGGCTGAATCCCTTGGAGTTATGGTGATATTTTTAGTGGTAATTGAAGAGGACATTGTGGGTTTTTCAACGGTATCCAAGTTCGGAGGTCTTGGTGGTTGGAAGCTGTCGAAAAATCACCGCAAAACTTGCCCAAAAAATGTGATAATTCAGTGACCGTTTCTGAAAGAAATTTAAATTTCAATGACCGTTTGTGAAATTAACCCATTTAACAACTAATTATTTTTCTATTTTTGTGGAATATTATTATATATAAAAGGGACATGGTGAATTGGTCAGTCAATTTTAATTATGCTTATAATTTTGATTCAAATGGGACATGATAAATTGGTTCACCGTCAGTTTGCATCAGTTTTGAAAAGTCAACGGTTGCTTTTGAAATTCAAAAATTGCCTAAAAATATGTCCGAATAATTTTTCGGAAGTTATAACCATCTAACTAGAAGAATTTTGGGAGAAAATGTATGGTTGAAAACTGATAGAAATTATAGATCTCATGAAATATGTAATTAAAATTAATTGTTGACTTTTTAACAACTTTTTAAGTTATACCAAACAAGCATATAGTTATGTTCAACAGAAGTGTAAATTTTTGAATTGAATTTCGTTCCTTTTTTTTTTTTTTCATTAAAATGAAAATAGGTTTCAATTATTTAACACAAATCATATATTCTAAAAGAAATTCAGAATTGAATTGTATAGATGTATCTAGGGAGAAAATTGACTTTGAATCTTAATAATCTTTGTTACCAAAACATCACTATAAGTAGAGAGACAATAAGGAGCATAATGTTACCACCCAAGTGTACACGAAGCACGTTTAATAAATAATAGTAAGTACATGTTTGGTTTAGTTAAAAAATTGATAAAAAAAAATTAAGTTAAAATCAACTACAATTTTATCAAAATTTACTAAAAAGTTGATTTTTAACATAATCAAATTGGTACTATTGAATTTAATATAGCAGAGGTGAATATGCAGATAACTGGATTGGGTTCGACGATAGTGATGCCATTGGCAGGATATCTTTCGGACACTTATGGGAGAAAAGTGTTGCTTACCCTCCCAATTACTCTTTCAATCTTCCCTACAGGTATCCTTAATTTTATCTGACTTTCCAGCATGTTTGGTTTAGCTTAAAACTAATTTGATGTTAGGAGGAGATTCAAGAAACGTTTAGCTCAAGAACAACAAAATCATAAACAAGAAACAAACAAAAATAAACTGTAAAGGAGAAATTCATTAAGTGGGTGTTTGACCCCATTTTTTTAGGAAGAATTAGTTTTTGAATAGTGATTGATGGTAGAATGTATAGTGGAAAAGTGATGAAAAGTTTTAGATTTGTATGTAATATTATTTTATTTGAAAAATGTGAGGTTGAAAATGAGTACTGTAGAAAAATGAATGGGAAAAAAGGAGAAAGAATGAGGCTCAAACATGGGGTAATAGTTGCCCTAAAGCAATAACCCAAACATTAATGCCTCAGTCATTGAAAAAATAGCCAATACAACCAAGGTAAAATGATAGGTTTTCGACACTCGGACTAAACCCCGTAAAATCATAGTACTCAGCCCTCACTCAAGAACAATTGTTCACACAAGAGCACGATACTTATCACGAGTAAAAATCACTCAAGATTACAATATTGTGAGAATAACCAAAATCAAAAGGAGAGTTTTGATTTTCAGAGAGAAGGAGAGTAGAAATCTCGAACGGCAGGGGGGGAGAGAAATATCAGAAGCCAATGTACATTGCAAATCCTAGGAAGCCTTTTATAAGAGTCACCCAAAAGGTCCTCATCTAAGGGTCGTGGAGGTTACATTTAGCGACATCTTGAGCGTCCATTCAAAAAGTAAGATAAAACACGGCATTCATCAATTCAGAAACACGACTTTGTACCATTTAAAAAACACATAAGGATCAGTCAACTGATCAATAGTCCAGTTGAAACGGGTGTTTGCATCATTGTGACATTCCCTTCATTCTCCACCTTGGTACAATGATTTAATTCATCAGTGGTTATTCCTCCATTTTAGACATCATCAGCATACCTTACCAGATCCTCAGATCAACACACAGTAATGTTCAGCAAAGTTAAACAATCCAGGAACTTGTTTAGAGACAACACTTTGGTACCTACATCAGCAAGATTATAATTAGTAGACATCTTTTCAAATTTCACAACTCTTTGTGAAATAATATCCCTTATAAAGTGAAATCCAACATCAACATGTTTAGATCTATTATGTAATATATGATTTCTACTTAAATGAATGGCAGATTGACTATCTGAATAAAGAACAACTTTTTTAGCAAAACCAAATTCATTTAATAATCCTTTAGTAGCTATGTATTCTACCTCAGTTGATGATAATGCAACAATCTTTTGAAGTTGAGATTTCCAGCCTATACAGGAATTACACAAAGTATACATATAGGCTGAAGTAGACTTCCTATTATTCCTATCACCGGCAAAATCAG